GGTGCAAGAGGAATATGTCTAAATTTAGCCAATCTCTGAATTGCTATAGGACAACACAGGAGGCCACCTCAAGTGAGTGCACAAGGATTGCCACTGGCCAATTACAGCTACTTCCTGATACCAGGAGGAGGTTCTTCTCATAGGCATTGACATGTCCTACTTTAATGTACCTCTTGTTGTGCCTGGGTGTCTCAGTTGGTTAAGTGTCTGACTCTTGATCTCAGCTCAGGTCTTGATTTCAGGGTCATGAGCTCAAGCCCTGCACTGGGCTCCACACTAGGCATGAAGGCTACTTAAACAACAAAATTAATAATAATTATTATTATTACTATAATAATTATAATAATTATAATAAAATCATAATAAATAATAAATAAATAATAATAAAGTTTTAAAATAATAAAAATTCCCATAATGATTTTCATAAGGCTGTACCCCATATGGATATCCCTTTAATAGGCCAGCTTTCCATTGTCTATCTGCCTGACCCCACAGCCCGGCCATTGGCCACCACCATGAGTCAGTAAAAACCCAAACACAGAGGCAAATAGCAGGCATTCCAGCCCACTGAGCTGAATTATTTTTATTTTCTTCAATAAGAATGGCTTGGAACTGTTCACTTTGGAATTCTTACCCATAAACCAAGAGGCTTTTTGTTGGTCAATAGAGAGTGGTCAATGTCTACTCAAGTAGACATAGGGGCTAGCAGCGCCTCAGGTGGTTCCAAAGTCAGATCCAGAGAAAAAGGAGCTCCCTGCTCAGGAATATATCTCCTTGTTTTCCCTTAGCACCATTTCCTATATAAATAATTTCTTTTTTATTATGGAACTCTTCTGAGCACTCCCCTCCCCATTATAATATTTTTAGGACATTATCCAAGACATTATAGGTATTTCAATATTATTCTATGTCTTTCAGTCATAGGAACAATTTCAACCCATGTCAAATAGCAAGCTAGTAATTGTCTTTCAAATGGGAATGTTCTGGAATTTTCAAATGGAAATCCCAGTGGTCATTGCTGGGTAGCACTCGCAGGCTTTTGCCATTAGCTCCAGTCTGCACCCAACATAGGGTTATTGTACAGATAATCTGTCTGTACCAGCACCCCAGTCGAATTAACAATCTGTGTGGGCTCAGGCAATGTTTTTGACTCCCATTTAGCTGTCTAATTAATAATGGCTGAAAGGAGGCTTTACATGACTTCTGTATGATGATACTAGGTAGGAGAAGCATGCCTCAATTAGACACAATATTCACCCCCATAATATATTCAGGTAACAGAGACACAACCACTTCTCATAGTCTGTTCAAACATTTCATCCAACTTTTCACCTGAATCCCACTATTTCATTCTCATCCACCCAATCTAACTGTAGCCACTGTCAGAACTTTACTTTCAAGCATTGGCATCATGGCGCACAGGGCTCCCATGTCAAGGAGTCCCAGAAACATCATTCTTAGACTCCTCAGCTATTTTACCCACTCATGTGCACAAACCCTTGGGCCCTTTGGCCAATCATTAACTTGATTAGGTTGTGGAACCATCACCTCAAGCAATTCTAGGGAGGTTTTCTCATTTTCATCTTTGCCATCCAACTTTTGAAATTCTTTCAAACTAGGGTGAATAAAGCAGATTTGTGTAAGGCCTTTCAGTGTGGGGTCCTTCAGTGGCTCTCATCAGTCTGTCCAGTTTCTGAGATTGCTGCAGTAAGACCTTTATTTTGGTCCCTTCTTTGTCTGCTTTATTTATCCAGTAACTGTTTAAAGGTTTCTATCTTCCTGGGATGGGTCTCTAGACTCTCCCTTTTGTCTTTTCCCCCCCATTATCTTGCAAATCTTAACTATCTGTGGCTTCAGTTTAACTATTTCCTTTGGTGACAGACAGAACAGACTGATTCCAAAGTTTGGCTCAGCCTCAAGATCCATCCCAACACTCTACCTTTCATTTTGGTTACTACAGATAACAACAACCAAGGGAGTGATATTTGCTTGTTTCTTGTTACTTTGCACTTCCTTATGCATCCAGTGAGACAACTCCTCCAGGAGCTGGGGCCAAATTTCTAAATTCTTTTGGTAACTTTTACCTCCAGTAACAAATTGTGGCACAGCTCCAGTTCTGTATCCTAGGTGACCCTGTGGCCACCCAGGAATCAAAGCCTCACCACCCCCCACCCATTCATTCTTCTTTCTTGAACAATGTTTCCATGAGTCAGGGTCAGGCTAGTGAATCCCACTTCTGACACAAACAGGGAAGCATTTGGGCCAACGTGAAGTCAGAGGGAACAGTCTCCAAAAACATCCTTCCTTCTGACACAAGCTGCAAGGTCAACAGTCTCCAAGATTACCCTTAGGTTTGATTATTCACTAGGAGGACTCACAGAATTCACTGAAACCTGTTATACGCACAGTTAGAGATTTGTTTTTAAAGGGAAAGTCTATAAAAGATACAGATTAAAATTAAGCAAGAGAAGAGCACAAAGGGAAGAGTCCAGAGGAGAACTATACACAGAGTTACTGTTGTCCTTCTATGGAATGAGGACATGTCATTCCCACTGCATTGATGTGCAACAATATGCAAGGGGTACTTCCCACTAGAGAAGTTCACCTGAGCCTCAGTATTCAGAGTTTTTATTGTGCCTCATGTGCATGTGGATGTCCCAGCCCACACATCCAAACCCCATCATCCCCTTTTTACATGCAGTCTCCCCTTGGTCCTAGGGGTACACACTGAAGGCATGGCCTGCCCTCAGGGAGACAAAGGGAGAGAGACTTATACATGTACTACAAGTGGGCTCAGAGCAATTTGGGCAAGAATTTCAGACATTCTGGGATTTGGGACATGATCCAAAAGAGGGGTACAAGCTTTGGGTGGATATGAACTCTTGGTTCTACAAGTGTCTCCTATGGGGAGGTGCATGGCAGAAAGGAAGAAAGGAAGAATGAAAGAAAGAAAGAAAGAAAGAAAGAAAGAATTAAAAAGAGAAAGAAAGAAAGAAAGAAAGAAAGAAAGAAAGAAAGAAAGAGAAAGGAAGAAAGGGAAAGGAAGAAAGAAGGGAGGGAGGAAGGAAGAAAAGAATGCCCATAATTGGAATAGATCCTGTTATTGAGCTAATCTTATTAACCCACATCAAATCTTTAGCTAGACTGCATGCTTTCATCACCATAAAATTTTGATTTCAGTTCTTGAGGCACTAATTGATCAAAAAGGCTTACAAAAGCATGTTATATCTATGAGCCTAGATGTGGAATCCCAGTCCCAGACAAAGAGGCTTTACCTTCCTTCCTTGCCAGGTTATGAAGAAGCCTTAGAACAAGAGTCTAGGGGATTGAAGGACTCTCAGAAGGCTTGACTGTCACAGCAGATCACACAGGGAAGATTTTTGCACCTGGAGCTGCAGCTGTGTGGGCCAATGACAAGTGTGCCAGAACTCCTACATGTTCCATGTTCTGCTTCAGGAAATGACCAGAACTATGGACAATCTTACCAAAGACGCCAACATCATCACCAGAGAACCAGGGGAAACTCCAGTGAATAGTCCTTAACAATTGTCTGGCATTGGACAGGATTCTGGCTTGCCAAAAGGGTGCCTGGGCAGTGGTCAGAAGTACTACTGGGCATGTATTCCCATAACGTCTATGCCACCACCAGAAATATTCACTGCACACCCAGAAATCCACCAAATTGCCACTGTCATCTTCCTTCTGCCATTAAGTATGCTTCAAGTCCAACATCTCAGAGCCTTCTTAGCTAACTCCCTTCAAATTTCAAATTGTGGTTGTACTCCCTAACTTAATCCTTAATAATTATTCTTTTAGTGTATTCCAAAGTATACCTCTGTGACACCCCTGATCTCAAAGACCCTCTGACACCTGTCAGTCTTAGGACATGCCCAGCAGATGATAACAACTAGTCTTTCTGAGCCAACAAGAACATGGAAGCCAGCCCACCTCTGACAACCAACTGAACCAACACCAACCTCACAATGACTGTTATTCCATCCCGCAGAGCAGATTGTATGCATGAATAAAAGGAGTAATGACCAAGTGTTCACAATTTTCCACTTCTTACCCTCTACTTTACTTCACCCAAACTTATGTAGGCTTTCCCCTACCTACAACCCATAAATTTGGCTTGCGCCAAGTTTAAACAAGCACACTGGTGAACACCGACCTCCTGAACAGTTCAGTGTGAGAATCTGCTGACTTTGGAGAAAAATATTCCCCACTGCACAACCTGATTTTACACCTGCAGCCCCACCATCTTCCCTCCTCATCTACATAGTCCCTGCTGATCCTGCCCACCTCCCTCCTATAAAAGACAAGTCTGTTCTGATGGACATTGGATGCTTGCAACTTTCTGAGATCAGAATGTTAGATAATTTCCCTAATATGAGCACCATCTGGACATGATGATACATAATGTCAGAGTCTGACTTCCTGTCTGGAAGGCGGCAGGTGACCGTCCTGGGGCTGGGACTTCCCACCGCAGTGGGCGAGGCAGGAGCCAGCGTGGTGCAAGGGTGTGGGCGGGCGCCTGGACAAGGACGTGGTCTCTTTCAGAACCGCCATATTGCCCACCCCAACCTCCCCGCCCCCTTTCCTGCTGCAAATTCACAATGGAGCCTGTGCCCTCAGCGTGCCCTGCTCTGGCCCCTGTCCCCAATCGGGCTCCCAGATTCCTCCTGCCTGCCCTTCCCCAACCATCCCCTGCTGGGGGCAGGGGCGACAGGCCACAGGATGTCAGTGGTAGAAAACTGTGCTGCCTGGAGGGCTGGGTGGGGTTTGCGCCAGGAGACATTGATCCCTGGAGGCAGTCTCTCAGGGTGGGGTCCAAGTGGTCCTTGGTCCTGGGTGGCAGGACCCGTCCTTCAGCTGGGATGCTGTGACATTCAGCCCTGCCTGGGGGTGATGGCCTCCCCAGCATCCATAGCTTTCCCTAGAAGGGGATCTGCTGGGCTCACCCTCCTGGTTCAGTGCCCTTCCCAGCTTTGCAGTCTGTCGCCATAATATGGCCGATGCTCTGCAGATTTCCAAGCCCCTCTGCAGCAGCTGCTGGAGGAACAGGGGCTTGGGCCTATAGGACTCCTCCACTGTCTGACCACAATGGCCACTGTTCCAAGGACATGACAGGGAGAAAAGGGCCATCCTTCTTGATATTTAGGATGCTAGGCCGTCATGTGTTTTTTTTTTTTTCTCCCCAGTTTTGGGAGGTCATCAGTGATGAGCATGGGATCGACCCCACTGGCAGTTACCATGGAGACAGTGACTTGCAGCTGGAGAGAATCAATGTGTACTACAACGAAGCTGCTGGTGATTATTACAGTGTTTTTTGTTTGGTTTTGTTTTTTTTGCCCAGTCAACCTTGCTTTGCATACCGTGGCAGACGGAATGTGCTAGGAACATACAAATGCCAAAGACATGCTTCTTGCATTCATTTTAAATGTCAACTGGCAAAAATACACTTTATAGTTCCTTACGACTCCTGCATGTTTGCCATGACTAAGCATGCCATCATCTCTTTTAAAGCAGAAAAGCACCTCTGCTCACTTTTGCCTCAGATGCTAGAATTTTCTCTAATGATTCTGCCATGAAAGGGACATAGAGCACAGTCTTGCCTGTGATTCCCTTGCCCACTGCAGGTCTAAGTCTGGCTCTGTTCCCCACAGGTAACAAATACGTACCTCGGGCCATCCTGGTGGATCTGGAGCCAGGCACCATGGACTCGGTCAGGTCTGGACCATTTGGCCAGATCTTCAGGCCAGACAACTTCGTGTTCGGTATGTAGTCCTGATCCATGGCAAATGGCTCAGTGAGTCTCCTTTCTCAACACTGTGGAAATCATCGTTCTTGGTGCTGAATGCTAAGGTGGAGATTGTGTGTCCATGGACAGCCTTGGGTCCTGGCCACTTCTCTGGCCCCTCTCTGGGCAGCTCAAAGAGCTGTCAGCCTGCAGAGGGCTTCTATGGTGCTCCTACTACAGAGCAGCCCGTGGCAGTAAAGAATACTGAGCAGTGATGAACCTTCCAACAGGAAGGTAACAGGCTGCCGGTAATGTCAGAGGGCCCGAGACAGCAGGTAACCACTTCAGGAAGCCAAAGGCCAAAGGCACAGGTTGTGACCAGAAGTGGAGACAGCAGCTTGGAGCCCATCTTCTTTTTGGATCATATTGTACCCTTGCCCTTGCTTGTTTATTGATTGTACCTACATTAAGTACATTAAATACTGAATGCAGACCTGTACAAACTGGTCATGAACATGGTGCCTTTATCAGCTCCTAATGGTGCCCAAGATCACCTGCAGACAAAATGTCCTTCCCTACAATCCAAATACTAACAGCAGAGGAACAGGAAGAGTGAGATCTTAGCAACTCCGCAAAGAACCAGGACAGCTTCATATGAGTCACCAGTATGATGAGGCTGCCCAGAAGCTGATGTGGTCCGAGCTGCATTCATAGCTCATAGTCAAGAACAATCGAACTAGTTCTGAACTCAAAATCCTGTTTCATGGGGCTGCAGGGAGGGAGTCCAGGAAGAAACTTGAAATGTTTAGCCAGTGAGGCAATACCTTAGGAGTATGAAAACTGCGGGTATCTGAAAAGTGTGGAGAAGATACACATCTTCAGCTGACGAACCAAACCTGAACCAATGGCTAAATGGTATGTACCAATAGATAGGAAGGAACTTTCTAAGGAACTTTGTAGCAGACACTGTTGGTACCAGGCCATGTTCCTGCGACCTTCATTCTTCCCAGAACCCCTACTGCATGTCCTGCCCACAATGCCCCTTTGGAAGGAGGACTGTTAAAGGACAGACTAGAGGCAAAATAGGCCAGCTTTCCTGGCTCTTGGTGTGACAATTCTGGTCCCTTACAGATCCCCCACTGTGGAGCCCTGTGCCCACCCCAGTAACCTGCTTGCAAATGCAGCTTGGGGACTTCCCTTTCCTGGTTCGGTTCCTCACTACCCTCTTGCTGCTTCCTGGAACCACCTCCCTAGTAAACTTCACTCCCTAGTAAACCTTGTCTCAGGTTGGCTTGTGGGGGACTGACCTAAGACACTCACCAAAGAGGAGATCCTGTCGTTTTTTATTGCTGTGGGATAGGTTACCACACAGTGGCTTAAAGCACCATAATCATCTTATAGTTTCTGGGGGCAAGAGTCATGGGTCTCTGCTCATGTCCTCAACTGACCATCCTGGGCAGCTCCATCTAGAGCCCATGGCCCTCTTCCATGGCCTTGGGTGATTGGCAAAAGTCAGTTCCTCGCACTCATAGGTCTGAGGTTCCTGTTTGCTTGCTGGCTGTTGATCAGAGGCCATTCTCTGATCCTAGAAGCTGCCTGATGTTGCCTGCCACCTGGACATCTCCACAACGTGGTAGCAGCTCCTTCAAGGCCAGCAGGAGAGTGTCTCTACTGCTTCAAAATTCTGATGTCTTCTTCTATTACCAGCTGGAAAAAATTCTTTGCTTTAAAGGAGTTCATGTGATTAGAGGAGGCCCACCCACATAATCTCCCTATTTTAAGGTCAGCTGACTGGAATCTTAATTATATGTGCAAAATCCCTTCACAGTAGTACCTAGATTAGTGTTTGAGTAACTGGGAAAAGGTCGTGTACACCCCAGGGCCAGGTGGCTCTCAGATCTGTGTTAGAATTCTGCCCTCTCCAAATGGACAGTTTGGGGAATGGAAAGCACATGGTCTTTGAAACGTCTGGTTCTGACATTTGAATCTATGTTCACAGAGTACATGATGTTTCTACTTACTAGTTGTATGGCCTTGGGCAAGTATTCATTCTCTCTGAGCCTTAGCTTCTTTTTCCAGAAAGTGATCTTAACAGTATGTACTTCAGAGGGTTATTGCAAGGATTAAATGAAATGACATATGTATAGTACTTGTCACACAATAGTGCAACAGTTGGTGCTGCAGTGAGCATCCTACTAAGGCAGGTAGGTGTTCAAGGACAGGCTATATGACTTCTTGCTAGGAATTCTGCAAAGAGGGGGCAGAGACCAAGATAGATTTATTTTGGAATTTCTTTTAATTTTAGAAAATATGATTTTCAGATCCCCTTTGGCCACAGAAGTCTATGGATCAATGTGAATGTTCTTGGAAAAGCTAATATACTTATCAAAATAAGACCTTAATTGACTGATATTAAATGTTTTTTTGGTACAGATTTTCATAAAGGGATAGAGCTTGTGTGCTCAAATTTCAGGAAGAGTAGCAAGAGGTGATAAAAAGAATTAAAAGGGAAATTTAACCACCCTTACAATTTTACTTAGGACTGGTCCCAATTCAGTAAGTTAAGTTTGCAACTACAGGTGGCTATAGTGGAAATTGCTAGCTTAGGCTGGGCTCTGAGTGGCAACATAAGATTTTTTGAGGCAGCCCTGCAGGGTTGAGGGCCCATTCTAACTTTCCTTCTACATGTACTTCCTGTTTTCCTTGTCTTGCTTTTCCATCACTTCCTTTCAACTCCAAATTAAGATTGGACAGCAGGTTCTGGTCCCAGCATCTCATCAGACTTGACAGTTCATTTATTGACTCAGCTCCTAATCTTGCTGGGCCTTTTCCCTCTCTTACTATTCCTGTACTCAGTGTATAGTGGGCTCTCCCCACTATGGAAAGCCTCAGCCTGTGCACTATGTTCAGCTTCATTTCTCCAATATCAGTATTGGCATCTCAACAGGATCCAAATGCCTCATTCATTGCAAAACTATCCAATCTTAAAAGTCATCTGTGAATCAACACAGTATTCCCTGAGTTAACAGAAATTTGACTCTGAAACACCCAGTACATAGTTATGTCTGGTTGCACATTGCTCCTCTATCCTAAAACTCACCCAAAGGCCTAACCCTCCCCTAGTCCCCCAACACACACAGAGCAACAAAGCTGTGCTTGGCCAGTGCACCCCCTGCTGGCCAGTGAGGGGAAATGACTGGTCCAAGACATCTCCTCCCCTTTCATTTTCACCAAGGTAGTTGTGCACACAATGTGCCCCTCCCTTTCCTCTTTCAACATTCTCAGCTCTTGTTAAATCTCTCTCAGAGGATGCCTTTCCCAACATATTTGTCCCCATACCTCCTTCTTTCTTCTGGTTATCAAAAGAATCTAATTATTTCATGTTTACACTAATTGTAATATTTTTATGTTATGATATAAAAGTTAAGTTACATTTGACTAATTGACTGCTATGTTTGGTAGGTATGCAATTAAACATTTATGAATATTACTATTGTAGTATTCTTTTTATATTTTGGAGTTTTCCTCCCCACCCCATCTCAAACATTTTCTTAGGTCTTGAAAACTAGTAAGTGCTATACTTATTGTGGTAAACTTGTAAAATGGGCAAAATTGGCTTACTGGTAATATTAAAAGAGTGGAAATAACAAATATTCCTCATAATTAAGAAAAACAAAAAACTATTGGTAGCATGTTACACAAGCATCAGACTATGAGTGTTCAACAAAATTTGGTATAGTTAAATAATAAATTTAACAACTTTCATCTACCACATATTTGAAATGCTGCCTATTACTATTTTTGTACTACATGACAATTAGGCATAAAGAATAACTGATTACAGGACTATACAGTGGCGAAGACAGTATAGTCCTGTAGCATGACAATAAATGGTATTGGGAAAATTGGTCAGCTACATGCAAAAGAATGAAACTGGACCATTTTCTTTCATACACAAAAATAAATTCAAAATGGATTAAAGACCTAAATGTGAGACCTGAAACCATAGAATTCCTAGAAGAGAGCACAGGCAGTAATTTCTCTGACATCAGCTGTAGCAACGTTTTTCTAGAACTGTCTCCTAAAGCAAGGGAAACAAAAGCAAAAATAAATTATTGGGACTTCATCAAAATGAAAAGCTTCTACACAGTGAAGGAAATATCAACTAAAAGACAACCTACTCAATGGCAGAAGATATTTGCAAATTATATATCTGATAAGGGGTTAATACCCACAATATATAAAGAACTTACACAACTCAACACCAAAAAAAAAAAAAAAACCCACAAACAAACAATCCAATTAAAATATGGACAGAAGACTTGAATAGACATTTTCCTAAAGAAGACATACAAATGGACAACAGGTACATGAAAAGATGAGCATCACTCATCATCAGGGAAATGCGAATCAAAACCACAATGAGATATCACCTTATACCTGTCAGAATGGCTAAAATCAACAAGATAAGAAATAATAAATGTTTGCAAATATGTGGAGAAAAAGGAACCCTTGTGCATTGTTGGTGGGAATGTAAATTGGTACAGCCACTGTGGAAAACAGTATGAAGGATACTCAAAAAATTAAAAATAGAAATACTGTATGATTCAATAATTCCACTACCAGGTATTTACTCAAAGAAAATGAAAATACTGATTCTAAAAGATATATGCACCCCTATGTTTATTGCAGTATTATTTACTATAGCCAAGATATGGAAGTAACCCCGTGTCCATCCATAGGTGAATGAATAAAGAAGGTGTGGTACACACACACACATACATGGACACACACACACACACACGAATATTATGCAGCCATAAAAAGGATGAGTTCATGTAATTTGTGACAATATGGATGGACCTAGACGGTATTGTGCTAAGTGAAATAAGTCAGACTAAAACGACAAATACCACATGATTTCACTCATATGGAGAATCTAAAAGACAAATGAAAAACGGAATCAGACCTATAAATACAGAGAACAAACTGATGGTTGTCAGAGGGTAGATGGGGAATGGGACATACAGGCTTCCAGTAAAAATAAAACAAAACAAAACTGATTA